CACGGGTAACAGTGCCGTTAGGCACTGTTATCTCCTTTTTTTTTTTTTTTTTTTTTTTTTTTTAAATTTCAGATCACTTTGTTATAGAAGTATATGTTCATAATTTTATTACTATATGTTAATAACTATACATTCATAACTCTATAACTGTACATTCATAACTCTATAACTGTACATTCATAACTCTATAACTGTACATTCATAACGTCATAACTGTACATTCATAACTCCATAATTGTACATTCATAATTTTCGAAGCTCTATGTTCACAATTTTAGAGCTCTATGTTCATAATTTTATCACTATATGTTCATAATTGTAAGTTCATAATGTTAGAGCTCTTTGTTCATAATTCGATCAATAACTGTACATTCATAATTCCATAACTGTAGATTCATAATCTCATAACTGTAGATTCATAACTCCATAACTGTAGATTCATACAGTTATAATCTTCGAAGCTCTATATTCACAATTTTAAAGCTCCATGGTCATAATTTTATCACTATATATGTTCATAATTGTAAGTTCATAATGTTAGAGCTCTGTGTTCATAATTTCATAATTGCATAACTGTACATTCATAACGGCATAACTGTACATTCATAAAAAAAAATAATAATAATAACGCCGTTAACGGCAAAACACGCGCGAATTTTTTTTTTTTTAACTAAATGACGCGTTTCTTTTTAAAAACGACGTCGTTTTGGACCCGTGTCTACAATTCAATGTGGACACGGGTCCAGAGCATAATTTGCCACCTTTCAATTAGTGGTCAAAAATAGCAACTAGTATTTTTCTAAAAACTAAAAGTAGTAAAAAAAAATTGGTCAAAACCCTAAAAATAATTTATTGCAAACCTTATGTTTTCAATTACTTTTGGGTGATTAAAATTTAAAAGTTTTCTAATAATCACTCATAAATTGATCCAAACTATTATAAAGTTATCTATTCTTACTACTTTGATTTATTTACAGGAAAAATATGTCGGCACTATCTGAACCTAAATATTAGGTGCCTAGATTGTTCATAGATGATCACCTAAAATGAAGAAAGCCAGCTAACAACTAGGCCAACTCGACTGGATTGCTCCTCCTATTGCTCCTTTATAATACAATTTGTGTGCTCAAAGATAGACAGTTTTTGTGTATCCCAAAGTGACATCTATTAAATTGGGCCGAAAAGCCCATTTATTGAACAATTGATCTTCGCCCAATTGGTTGGTTCATTTTTATTATTATTATTATTTTTTTTTTTTGAAATCTTGGTTGGACACGATGTTATTGTTTTTAGAAGTTAATAATAACCTTAGTTCATCAATAACAATTATATTGTGGACCATGGTCCAAAACAACAGACACTATAGTGTATCTAAATTGACACTGTATCACATATTATTTTTATTATATTATCAAATGAAATTGTAATTGAATTGAAATGAAATTGTAGTTGTGTTGAAATAAGACTGCAGTGTATACAAAATGAAATTGAATAAAAATGTCACATATTTGAGGGTATATTGTCTAACGAAACTGTGGTTATATCAAAATGATATTTTAGTTATGTTGAAATGAAACTGCAGTGTATATTTGATGTCTGGACCACAATGTATTGTGGACCGCGGTCCACAGTATAATTTGTTGTTCATCAAGTGTGTGTGGCAAGTTATTCTGTGAACCCGGGTCTAAAGATACACAATTTACATATTAAATGTTCATAATTACCTTTTAAAAATTCACAATTTGTAATGACTCTGTAATCTGTATTGTATTCACAAATTTTTAAAACTTAGAAACATAATTTATATTCTAGATGTTCACAATTCCAATACTAAAAATACACAATTTAAGATTAGGATCCACCTTACAAGGTGGAACTAAGTCCATGGTATAACAACTGTGTATATATAATCTTTAATCTTCGATCAATTATTAATTTAAACTACAAATTCAATCCCGGTTAGTAATCAATGTTCAAGGTATAATTCTCAAGTAATAGATCTGAGTATAAATATCATCATTCTATCTTATCAAATGTCTACTTTACCCTAAAATGTGTGACTGAGTGAGTAAAGCTTATTATGATATCAGAGAATCATGAGTTCCCGTATTACCAAAGCCTTTTTTGGTCAAATCAGTGCTGTAGGATCTTCCTAGTGTGCTATTACATATCAAATGTAATTGTATCACTAGTATAGAACTAACATACAACGCCCAAGATATAACGTCAATTTTTTACAAAATCAACATCAAAATATTAAATAAATTTAATTTTTTTTAAAAAAATATGACGTTGGTTTAATAAATAAACCAACATCATAAACAATTTTTAATAAATAAAAAATAAATAAAAAAATATTATACCACGTCGGTTATATCAATAACCGACTTTGTATTGCCCAAATAATTTTTTATTATTTTTTTACACTACAAGAAAAATGCACATAGACAACACTAGAAAGACAACAGTTTTTAAGAAAAGTGTTGTCTTTTGTATAAAAGACAATAGTTTGGTCCAAAATCGTTGTCTTTGATGCAACACTTTTGTCAAAGACAACGGTTTTTACTTAACCGTTGTTGTAAGTGTGTTGTCTTTGTGCATTTTGTGAAAAGACAACACCACAACGACAACGGTTTTTTAAAACCGTTGTCTATGTGCGTTTTTTTAAAAAAAAAAAAAAAAAAAAAAAAAAGACAACGGTTTTTTTAACCGTTGTCGTTGGTGTGTTGTCTTTAAGCACACTGGAATATACAACACTAGAAAGACAACGGTTTTAAAAAACCGTTGTCTTTGTGCGCTCTTTTTTTAAAAAAAGACAACGATTTTATTTAACCGTTGTCGTTGGTGTGTTGTCTTTAAGCGCACTCGAATACACAACACTACAAAGAACGGTTTTTAAAAACCGTTGTCTTTGCACGCTCTTTTTTATTTAAAGGACAACGGTTTTTTTACCGTTGTCGTTGGTGTGTTGTCTTTAAGCGTATTTAAATACACAACACTACAAAGACAACGGGTCTTTGCGCATCATTATTTTATAAAATATAAACAAGGATGTTAACAACAAGAGTTGAACATATGACCTCTAACATAACAAACTAAGTTTAACCCACCAAGCCACACCAACACTTATGTATTTAGGCACAACATCTAGTATATAACCAGTTTGTTTCTGTGTTGTCTAGAACCAAGACAATGATTGTATGAAATATGTTAAGGATGCCCTTAAAAAAGATAGAACCCAAGTTTTCTAACATAACAAACAAAGCTAAACCCACCAAGCTACACCAACTCTTGTTTACTAAAGTGTTACACCCACCAAGCCATAACAAACTAAGCTAAACGGTTGTTCAAAAGTTAATTTAATAGTTCTATTTTTGTTAATATTTAAATATAAAATTATTCACCAAAATTTCAATTTCAATTCATTAAAGTTTTATTTTCAATTACAATTAAGACCAATCTATGAATTCAAAATAATAATAATAATAATAATAATAATAATAATAATAATAATAATAATAATAATAATAATAATAATAATAATAATTATCAAGTATAAAAAATAATAGATTATATCTATAATATTTTTTTTAAAAAAATTGGGCTTCCAAAAATTGGGGGCCCTATGCGGTCGCGCCGGTCCGACATGGCCTAGAATGGCCTCGGCGGTGCGGTGTGGTGTTCCGAATGGTGCGGTGTTCCGAATGGTGCGGTATGGTGTGGAGGGTAAGGGCGGTATGATAGGGGTCGGGGTTGGTAATCGACCCTTCCGGCTAGCGCATGACTAACAAGGTTAGCTATATGTTGGTAATCGACCATTCCGGCATGCATGGGACACGTGGAGAATGGATATGAAAGAATAGTTGATATCGTACAGTAAGCTATAGTCCATTTCTTTTGCCGTGATCTTTGTAATAATTGGGCCGCCAGCTGTTTGGGTAATAAACCTCCGAGTAATAAAGAGCAAATTAAGCTATGCAACCGTGTGCACCATGCATGGTGCACACTGTTCTATATTCATGATTACCGAACTATATATTCATAATTTTTGAAATTCATATTCATAATGATTGAACTCTATATTCATAATTTTCGATATGATGTTCATATTTCCAATTGTTGAACTATGTATTCACAAATCATAAAACTATATGTTCATAATTTGATAACTATACAGTTTAGAAATTATGAATCTGCAGTATAGAAATAATGAATATATTGTATAAAAATTATGGATCTATTGTATTTAAATTATGAATCTATTGTATTTAAATTATGAATCTACGATTTAGAAATTATGAATCTAGAGTAAAGATTTTATGAATCTACAGTATATAAATTATGAATCTCGCGTTCTGTACATATATACTCGCGGGTACTATTTTGGGTCTAGCAACCTGGGTAATAAAGCTAATATTTTTTTATGGTGGATCCGGTCCCTACAAAATCATGAATATACTTTTTTTTTTTTAAATGTTACTGGCTCGATCTCACAACCTTCCAAATAGAAGTCCAACCCGAGTACCATTAGACCACATAGTCTTGGTATGAATATACTTATTTAATTTTGAAAAAATGAAAGCTTATTATAAAATTAAAATAAAATTTTGTTATTTTTCTAATTATATTAGTATATAGTATATAGTATATGTTATGTTATTTTTCTTTTTGCAAAATCAAAATAATTTCTTCAATTCAATTGTTTCCCTCTACAAATTTTTAGTTAGAACACTTAAGCGGGAGAAATTTCCCTCTTTGTAAATTTTCCCGTCAAACACTTTAGTTTCTAAGACAAAATTTCCGCTACCGCCATTCTCAGACATTCTCTCTTTGCAAACCTAGTGCTCTCCGCCGATCTCTATTCTCCTCAGACACCGCCATCTCTGCCATCTCCGCAATCAACCCAGTGCTCTCCGCCGACCGTCCTCTTTCCGCGTCCAATCTCCGACGCCGTCCCCGCCTCCAATCGGATTGAGTGGCTTCCCTAGCATATTCAAGAAGCTCGGCATCTTTGGCGGATCTAACCTGGGAAAAATCGCGGGCTTCCGTCACACTAGTGAACAAAGATTGCTTCCTCTGGGCGGGTTCTTCATCGCTCTTCTCTTTCTTGGCTGAAACCACGAAAGATTTCTTGAGGCTTCTTCTGCTGGGAACGCCGCTACAAGTTGAGAGCTTGTGTGCACACCCAGTGTTTGTGAAAATGCCATTCTGTGGAGGTGTCAAGGTCAGAGCCCTGAGACCCATTTTTTGCTTGTATAGTTTTTAATCAAGGTTAGTCTGTGGTGCCATTTTTGCTGCTTATATATTGTTTTAAGGAGACGCCATGAGGGAGAATTTGGGATTTGTTTGTGGTGGGTGATTTGTGTGAGAAATTTGCATGGTGGCAAGTGGCAGTAAGCCTGGTGGCTTAGGGGAGAAGATGTGGCCATGTGGTGACTATTGAAATTGTGATGGAAGATTTCAAATCTTAGGAAAAAGCCACAAAGTATCCAATAATCTTTAGTGGTAGAGAATTCAGTCAAAAGGAATTATAATATCCAGTCTTTGTCAATTCAGTATATTATACTCTTATAGCTTTTCTTTTCTTGCATTTGGTATGTGAGTTCTTAGTAATGTTGTAATAACACTGGCCAGAAAAATTCAGAAAAATAAAATAAAATTCCCAAAGGGATTTGAAGCCAAAAATGCCCTTCTAGAACTACACTAATATGAGCAGTTAACATTCTTGCAGATTGTTAGAGATAAGAGCTGTGAGGAAGAAACAAACCAGAGAATTGAATTAAAAGAAACCAGGAAACAATGATAAAATATCCTCCAGCAAGAAATAGTCTTGCCCAGCTGTAAGAAGCTCTTATTTTATGATTACTACTGCCTGCCTATTACTAAGGGGAACTCCTTTATTTATAATCTCATATATATGTTATAAAAGTAAACACCCTAAAATTCTCTCCTGATAATCTGCTGCAATCCCTGAAATCTGCTACAATCCCTTGACTCATGCCTTGTTTGTATTCTGGAAATCTGCTACTTGATTGGATGACTGATTCCCCTTTCCTTTTATTTCTTGATTTCTTTCCTTTCTTCTTGAGTAAACAATCCATTTGTTTGGTGCGTTATCATTGCCACCCGCTCCTGAAGTAGCCTTGTCCCCAAGGCTAGACTTAGGAAATTGACCGTGAAAATCTGAACTATCCATCCAAGTCGCGTCATCCTGGGGCAGATTTTCCCATTGCACCAAAACTTGTGGTACCCCATTGTGGAGTCGAGTACCTAGAATATCCTTAGGAATATACCCTTGGTCTTCTACTGCCATGTCTGCTGGAAGTTCAGTGATTGCAGGGTGGTGGCCCGTGACACGCCTAAGTTGTGACACATGAAACACGGGATGTATTCTGGCTGAAGTTGGTAGTGCTAGCTTGTAAGCCACTGCACTTAGTTTCTTCTCAATAGTGTATGGCACATAGTACCTTGGAGCGAGTTTCTGGTATATGCGACGTTGTACTGATGATTGGCGATGCGGCCGAAGTTTTAGTAAGACATTGTCACCTTCTTCGAACTGCATATCGCGTCGTTTAGTATTTGCCGCCTTTGTCATACGGCTTTGTGCTTGCCCCAAATTGTGATGAAGTTGTCTTAGAAGCTCATTTCTATCAATGTGTTCCTCAGCCACTGCTGCTACCTTGAATTCTCCTGGTAAGTACTGATGCAAAGTCGGAGGGGGTCGCCCATATACGGCAAGAAAAGGTGACATCCCGACAGCCCCTTGAAACGAAGTATTGTACCAATACTCGGCCCAATGAAGATATCGTCCCCATTGTTTGGGTTGTTCAGAAGCAAAGCATCGCAAATATTGTTCTAGACAACGATTAAGGACCTCGATCTGGCCATCTGTTTGCGGATGGTAAGCACTGCTCATTCGCAACTTAGTTCCGAGCTTGGCAAAGAATTCCTTCCAGAAATTGCTTAAGAATACCGAGTCTCGATCACTTACTATGGATCGTAGTACTCCGTGTAGGCGAACAATCTCCTTCATAAAGATGTCAGCAAGTGATTTGGCGGTGAACGGGTGTCGTAGCCCCACAAAATGGGCATATTTAGTGAAGCGATCTATTATCACCCATATGCAATCCAGCCCATTTGATCGAGGTAGTCCGATGATGAAATCCATAGCAATATCTTCCCAAGTTGCTGATGGTATAGGTAACGGATGGAGTAAGCCAGCAGGGGCCAAGGTGTCATACTTATTTTTCTGGCAACTGAGGCATTCTGCGACAAACTGCTGGACACGTCTCATCATTCCTTGCCAGTATACACTTGCAGCCAGTCTACGGTAAGTGCGATAAGCCCCTGAGTGACCTCCTGTAGGTGTAGAATGGAATTCCTCCAATAGTTTTGGTATCCATGGCGAGGTAGCTGGTATGACAATGCGCCCTTTTGTAAAACAACCGCCCATTAACAAGCTGAAATGGTGGCTGACTAGTGGGGTCTTGCTCCAATCGATCCCTAATGAGTTTTAAATTGGTATCCCGTGAAATTTCAGCCTCAAGGACATCTCAATCTAACCAAAAAGGTAAGGATACTGCCGATAACTCTAACTCTTCATGTTGTCGGGATAAAGCATCAGCCGCCTTGTTTGTTTTGCCAGGCTTGTAAGCGATCTCAAAGTCATAACCCATTAGCTTGGCGACCCAATTTTGTTGTGATGGCGTGGTAACTCGTTGTTGCATGAGGTGGCGTAAACTACTATGATCAGTGCGAACCACAAACTTTCTTCCGCCAAGATATGGTCTCCAATGTTGAATGGCTAAGACTAGTGCCATCAGTTCCTTCTCATAAGCTGATTTTGCCAAGGTTCGACCCGAGAGGGCCTTGCTAAAGTATGCTATCGGACGTGCTTCTTGCATAAGAACAGCACCCACACCTGTCCCTGAAGCATCGCACTCAATAATGAAGGTTTGTGAAAAATCTGGTGTTGCTAGGACTGGTGCAGAAGTCATAGCAGCCTTCAACGCATCAAAGGCAATTTGCGCCTTATTGGGCCAATGAAATTTGTCTGCCATATCCTTCTTGAGAAGTGCAGTTAACGGCTGAGCTATATTCCCATAGTTTTGTATGAAGCGATGGTAGTAGCCTGTGAGACCCAAGAATCCCCGAACAGCCTTTGTGGATTTAGGTTGAGGCCAACGCAGCACGCATGATATTTTTGCTGGATCCATAGCCACCCCATATTGTGAAACAATGTGCCCCAAGTATTCCACTGTCGTCCGACCAAATTGGCATTTCTTTTCATTTGCTTTAAACCGGTGGGCAGATAGTATTCCCAGCACCCTTGACAGATGATTCAGGTGATCCTTCCAAGTAGTGCTATATATTAGTATATCGTCGAAAAATACCAACACAAATTGTCGAAGGAGGGGATGGAAGATGTCATTCATAATTGCTTGAAAGGTGGCTGGTGCGATTGTCAATCCAAATGGCATTACCAAAAATTCATAGTGCCCGGAGTGCGTTCGGAAAGCAGTTTTAGCCACATCTTGTGTAGCAACCTTAATCTGATGGTACCCGGAACGGAGATCAATTTTGGAGAAGTATCGAGCACCATGAAGTTCATCTAGCATTTCCTGTATGACTGGAATTGGGTATTTGTTTGCTACCGTTACCTTATTGAGCTCCCGGTAGTCGACGCAAAATCGCCAACTACCGTCTTTCTTTTTCACCAATAACACCGGGCTAGAAAAAGGACTGGAACTAGGTTGAATAATTCCTGCTGCAAGCATTTCACCAACCATTCGTTCTATTTCGTATTTCTTATGATGACCATAGCGGTAAGGCTTAACACTTACTGGAGTTGTTCCTGTCTTCAAAACAATCTGATGATCATTAGCCCGAGAAGGAGGTAAACCCTGCGGATCACCGAAAACTTGGCAGTGCTGCTGCAATAAATTACGAAGTTGAGAGTGTTGGGAATTAGAAATCTCTATATCCTCATTGTTCGATGAAGGCAGAGTAGTAATCTCCCACAATATACAACTGAAATCAACATCGCTTGGGTTCTCCAATGCATTGACAGAGACAGGGAGTCGAGATAAAGACGGGTCCCCACTAAGCTGTATAAGGCGATCCCCAACTTTGAAAGTCATAGTCATTCTTGCCCAATTTGCTTTGATATTGCCCAGAGTTTCTAGCCATGCGACTCCAAGGATCATATCAACACCTCCTAATGGGAAGACAAAGCAATCCAATGTCATTGTGACAGGACCCAAATTAACTGGTAACTGTGAATATTTGCCTTTGGATTCAACCCGACGACCATCCCCTAACTTGACTCCAAATTGTTGTGTGGGTTCCAATGGATACTGCAACTTGGTAGATAATTTATGAGAGATGAAGTTGTGGCTAGCACCGCTGTCCACCATAATGATGACCTCTGTACTTGCAACTTGGCCTCTAAACTTCATGGTTTTTGGGCCGTCGATTCCTCCAAAGGCTGTCAATGGAAGGTCCAAAAATGAATATTGCACTGTATCTAGTTGCAAGTGCTCTGAGTCGATGCATTCCAATTCGGATGGTTCTTCACCTGCATCATCCCCCTCATCTTCTGCTGCAATGAGAGTTCGTAGAGACTTATTCGGACATACATGCATCGGACTGTAGGGTTGCTGACAACGAAAGCAGAGACCTTTGTTTCTCATATCCATATACTCGCGGTGGGAGAATTGGCGAGCCTGCTTCTGTGGTGTATTCATACTGGAATTTCGAATAGGAGGAACAAAAGAGCGTGTTTGGGAATTATATGAAGTGGTGTGATTTTTTTCTGATTGGTGAGGGTTGTTTGATAATGGCTTGGGCGTAGGATGAGGAGATACATAAAAATGGGCTGAAGAATGTTTAGTAGGCCCAGAAGACCATCCAATCCCAGCAGAAGTCTTCTTCTTATAAGAATTGTCATCTTCATCAACCACTCGTCCCGGAATACGACCAGAAGAGAGGAACTCCAATTCACGTTCCACAGCACGTGCAACCCTTATTGCTGTACGTAAATCTGTCACATCGTTTGGTTGGAGGCACGCACGGATTGCCGGCTTCAGTCCATTGAGGAACAACCCTAGCTGAATTTGAGGCGCTAAACCTGGAATTTGGGCAACACGGGCTCTAAATATATTAGCAAAGTCGTCTACAGTACCAATTTGGCGAAGCGCGGCTAATTGTTCAATCGGAGGCCCGGAAAGTTCACCACCGAATTCTTCCAAAAGCTCTGTTGTAAACTGACTCCACGTGAGAGATGGATGTTGCTGTTGAAGCCAACGGAGCCAATGAAGTGCTGGTCCTTCCATACTGATGAAAGCTGTTGGCACTTTCAAATCCTCACGGGTGCATTGAATGGCAAAGTACTGATCTGCCCGTGCTAGCCATCCCACCGGATCCGTGCCATCAAATGTTGGAATCTCCAACCGGCCAGGCTGCAGCGAAAGAATGACCGAAGGAACCTGGTGCAATGGTACCGATGCGGAATCGATATTATCTGAAGAGGAATTTCCGCCCGCAGCAACCACAGGAGAAACACTAGATTCTACTGACCTTTTCCCATGTAGTGAAAAGAGTAGCTCGGACATCTTGGCAAGCGTACCTTCTATCCCATCCATACGATCTTTTATTTCAGAATGCATTACCTCCATCTCTGTATGCATTTCCTCCTGGCTCTTCTCTAATGAGTCAACACGAGCGTCCATTCGTGTGTTGGTCATTGCACGGCAGGTCGGACCAATTTGTTAGAGATAAGAGCTGTGAGGAAGAAACAAACCAGAGAATTGAATTAAAAGAAACCAGGAAACAAGGATAAAATATCCTCCAGCAAGAAATAGTCTTGCCCAGCTGTAAGAAGCTCTTATTTTATGATTACTACTGCCTGCCTATTACTAAGGGGAACTCCTTTATTTATAATCTCATATATATGTTATAAAAGTAAACACCCTAAAATTCTCTCCTGATAATCTGCTGCAATCCCTGAAATCTGCTACAATCCCTTGACTCATGCCTTGTTTGTATTCTGGAAATCTGCTACTTGATTGGATGACTGATTCCCCTTTCCTTTTATTTCTTGATTTCTTTCCTTTCTTCTTGAGTAAACAATCCATTTGTTTGGTGCGTTATCATTGATCTTCAAAAGGGCATTCAGATCAGTAGATTAAAGAGTAAAGATTCATGATGAAGCTAGAAAGTTTGCATATCAGACTGGTGTCAATGTGGTTGTTGCCTATGGTGGAGCACCCATAAATCAACAGGTCCTATTCTTTCTAATATCTTCATTTAATAAAACCTTTTGTAAGATGAACATGTTAATAGGTCACATAGATTTATCAAAGACAACCCACTTAATCCATTACATAAATAGGATATGTAAGAATTGTCCATCACTTTCTGCTCTTGATATTTTAAGAATTGTTGAGCTAAAGTTGAAATTTTTGTTTAGTTTCACCTTTGACATGCCAATCACTTTGTTGCTAGTATGTGCTTTCTAGCAAAACAGTCCACATGAGCCCATCACTAAATTTTTGTTTAGTTATCCTTGCAATTATTCTTCTCAATTTTGTATGACAGCTTCGAGAGCTTGAGAGGGGCGTGCATATACTTGTTGCCACTCCTGGGCGGTTAGTTGATTTATTGGAGAGGGCAAGAGTCTCATTGGAGATGATTAGATATCTGGCCTTGGATGAAGTAGATCGAATGTTAGACATCGGTTTTGAACCTCAGATAAGGAAAATTGTGCAACAGACAGACATGCCTCCACCAGGCATAAGGCAGACAATGTTGTTCAGTGCTACCTTCCCGAAAGAGATTCAGGTTTGTTATGCTCATTGAGTCGTGCTTTTTTCTTATAGGTCTGGATCATCTTCCTAATTATATTAGTACATAATGTATAATATATGTTATGTTATTTCCCTCTTTGCAAAGTTATATTAGGACATAGTATATAGTATATGTTATGTTATTTCCCTCTTTGCAAAATCAAAATAATTCCTTCAATTACATCGTTTCCCTTTGCAAATTTTTAGTGAGAACACTTAGCGCGGAATTTCCCTCTTTGCAAATTTTCCCATCTCATACCTTAGCTCTTCATATATTAGGGTTTGAATTTCTGTCTGCCTCAGTGTTGTTACATTTATGCTAAAAATCCGAGTTCTTAGGGTAAATTATACTATGGGATTAGTAGACCAATAAGGGTAAATTCTCATTACCGCCTGCATTTTCACCAAACTGCATTGAGGCAGAGGTATGTGTGTATTATGTGGGTGTAAATCAAAGCAAGAATAAATATCCACTTTTTGGCTAATGCAATACCAAAAAATCTTGGAATTCTGAGGTTCTCTTCTGTTCTTTGCTCTCTTTTTTTTTTGTTTTTTGTTTTTTGTTTTCTTTTGTCTCTTGATTGCTGATATTTTTCTGTGATTTCTGCAAATGCAATACTCATGCAATTCCCAAAAAAAAACATTTTTAGTCCATCTGTTTAATCTTTTTGGTAAGATATATATATATATATATATATATATATATATATATATATATATATATATATATATATATATATATATACTAATTTATTTTCTTACTTTTTACATGTAGTTTCAACAAGTTGATTATGACAAAGAGGTTATTGATCTGGTGCGATATGAATGGGCCGATATTCTATCAAGGCATATAGAGTAGGTATGATTTGGTCATTCGAACGTTGTGATCATCTGGACTTGAATTGGTTCGGGAAATTGTTGTAGTAGTATTATGACTTGGATGATAATTAGAATTGGTCATGTGTTGTCTTTTGACTTGTTATTTTGAACCTTATTAGCTTGTGCACAATTATGTAACTACACTTTGCAACATATGGTGAATGGATAAATTGATTTTTTATACGATTATAATTTAAGCAGGTGAAAAATGGTTAAAAACCGTCGTCTATTTTACAATAGACAACAGTTAGAAACCGTTGACTTTTTTACAAAAGACAACAGTTTATGGGTGTTTCAACAACACCCAATAGACAACGGTTTATAACTGTTGTCTTTTAAAGAAAAGACAACAGTTAAAAACCGTTGTCTATGTACGTGACTTTTAACAACACTGGTTTCAACAACGCTTAATAGACAACGATTAAAAAACCATTGTCGTTGGTAGAAAAGACAACGGTTAAAAACCGTTGTCTATTGCGTGACTTTTAACAACACCGGTTTCAACAACACTTATTAGACAACGGTTAAAAAATCGTTGTCGTTGGTAGAAAAGACAACGGTTAATAACCGTTGTCTATTGCGTGACTTTTAACAACACCGGTTTCAACAACACTTAATAGACAACGGTTAAAAAACCGTTGTCGTTGGTAGAAAAGACAATGGTTAATAATCGTTGTCTATTACGTGACTTTTAACAACACCGGTTTCAACAACACTAAATAGACAACGGTTAAAAAACCGTTGTCGTTGGTAGAAAAGACAACGGTTAATAACCGTTGTCTATTGCATGACTTTTAACAACACCGGTTTCAACAACACTAAATAGACAACGGTTAAAAAACCGTTGTCGTTGGTAGAAAAGACAACGGTTAATAACCGTTGTCTATTCGCAGGACCTACAACAACACCGGCTTCAACAACACTTAATAGACAACGGTTAAAAAACCGTTGTCGTTGGTAGAAAAGACAACGGTTAATAACCGTTGTCTATTCGCAGGACCTACAACAACAACGGCTTCAACAACACTTAATAGACAACGGTTAAAAAACCGTTGTCGTTGGTAGAAAAGACCACGGTTAAAAAACCGTTGTCTATGCGCATGACCTACAGCAACACCGGCTTCAACAACAGAATGTATACCCCTACGACAACGGTTAATAACCGTTGTCTATGTGCATTTTTCTTGTAGTGTTAATTGGTATACTACTAAACTTTTGGTTTTTTTAAAAAATATTTACGACCTCGATTAATAGTAAACAGACATCGTATTTATGTTTTTTTTTAAATAAAAATAAAAATCGACCAGTATACGACGTGGGTTTGTTACAAAACCTATGTCGTAGCATGTTTAAATTAAGAAAAAAAAAAATCACACTTTGCGACATCATATTTTTAATAAATCCGACCTCATAATGCTCCTTTTATTATTTTCCTGGCCGTTACTTCTTCTTCTCTTTCAAATTACGTTTCTATTTAATTCATTTTGACCCTAACAGTCTAAGACTATCCTAATTTCTTAGTCTACTTTAGTTTCTTTCTTTTCTTTTCTTTTCTTTTTCATGTCATGAATAATGCCTCTTTTTTCCTTTATTTTTTTGGAAAATTATCAATGGGTCAATATAATATAAATATTCTAGATGATAAAACCCTATGGGCTATAATTCAAAACTTTTGACATTTAATTTGAATAAGGAAACGCTTCAAAGTCTCGTTTTATATATGTTTGTGCTTCTTTGAAAAAATATAATTTTTTTTAAAAAAAAAATCTTATTATTATATTCTCATGTCATTTTCATGTCTAATTATTCTGTTTGTTGGATCACTTTCATATTGTTGTTGCGTATAGAATCTTCCACTGCCACTTATAATATTCCACAAATTATTACCTACTCTATCAAATCAACCCTCTCTTTTACTTGCAAATATCTTATTTATATTTGGCATATAATTCAAAATTAGTAACTTAAGGAGTTTTGTGTGGGTTGTTTGTAGAAAGTGTTGATATCATATTACGTTTAATATGTTGATTTTGAGTGGTAAAAGATCAGGCAAATAGTTTAAGTCGATTAAGTATAAAGTTTGGAGTTAGTAGTTTCATTCCGTCAAGTATAAATACTATGTGATATGTAAAAAAAAAAAAAAAAATGATTGATCTGTAATTATTTATTGTTGCTATTGTTATTAGGACTTTTAATTTGATGTTAATGAATAAAGCTCACAAATACCTAAGTTTAATCTCCATAAATAACTGCTTGAATGATGTTTAGGAGGCCACGTTTTAAACAAGTAGAGTAGAAGTCATAATTGATATTGTAAACATGAAAATTGAATTTAAATATTGAAATTTACAATTTTCATGCATTATATGCTTTGAATATTTGTTTTTTTGTATATGAAATTTTTTGAAGTGTTGTAATTTGGCCTTCTATCAATCCAATCTATCGTGATTGTTGTATGATAACCGCAATAATGGTATACAAGAATAATATTGAGGATAAGAATATATAGAAAAGTATAGAAAAAAGTGAACTCAAATATAAGAATTCTAAAAGCACATCTTATATATTAATCATTCAAACATGTATATATATGACATGCATACAACGCCTTAAATCCTTGGCAATTTGGAAAAGAGAAGCAATGCAGAAGAACACAATGGATAAGAAAGAAAAGAGAAGTAAAAAAGACCATAATATGTTTATTATTTTACATATATATTAATATTTTTTGGTGAGTTTTGACCGACAATTTGATTGGAGCGACTAAAATTAATTTTAAAAAAAATTAAATAATTAAGGTACTAATTAAATCGACAATTTTAAAATTTGTGAATTACAATTAACAAGACCTCAATAGTCTAAGGACCAAAAGTGAAATTAACTCTAAATTAAAATTACAACTTCCTAGTGATCCAATCATGCTTACCCACTCTTTCTAAAGGATGGAACTTAAACAATAAGAAAACAACACCACCAATAAAGAAGTAAATGAAATGAAAGTACACATGACCAAAACTTGACAACAGTGTGAGTGTTACATTTAATGTAGGAAACTTCTTGTGAACATCAGACACTAGTCCTTCCATTTAAGAGTATATCACTTCACTATTATGTCGGGGCAAAGCATGGGACCCTCAGGACAAGAAATTTAACATTTGTGAGCAAGTAAATAAAATGAAATTTCCCTTTCGATCATTCCCAATAATAAACATAGAAGACTATGGTTAAAGAAAATGGACTTTAGTTCCGTTGAGGAAAGTGTTGCTATCTAGAAGAATCGAATTAAAACTGGAGGAAAAACATCTGGTCGTTTTGGCAGGTGTTGCACATGGTATTGGAATGTTATTAAAATGGCATTATTGGATTTTCAAAACAATGTTTTTTGTTAGCCAATGGTTTGAGCTTGTAAACCTAAATTAGGAATGGCAACAATGGTCTTTAGAAGAATCATAACATTTCTTTCAAATATTAGGTCCATAATCTACGTCAATTACATAAGTTTAAATTCAAAACTTAAGAGCACATCACTGCTCCTGCCCGGAAGACTGATGGATGATATAAATCGTGATATATGTGTCTCAATTGGTTTATGTAAGCCCCTAAATACTTGTCATTGGTATAATTTGATCATATTTGTACACAATATGATTACCAGCAAAACAAAATTTATGAACTTATTTTAAATTGATTGACCAATTGAAATGTGTTCGGAGCAAGAATTACAATTACATAATTAAGAAACAAACAAAAAATAGATTTTTCAATAATAAGAATAATATATGTATTATTTTTTGGCAAATGATTATTATTTAATGATAGATGAGTATTGTGGTGTCATGTTTTAGAAGGCCATGGTACCTCCATGGTCCCATAGAAAGTGATTATTATATGCTTGTCACTTTTCAAAACTATAAAAAGGGTATTTATATATTTACCCTAGTGGAATTCTTATCAAGATTGGATGCTTCCAAGACAAAGACTAGATAGCTAAGATCTAGTCTTTAATGGCGTTCTAGAAGGTTGTAAAGACCGCTAAACATTGAGCTTTTGAAACAAAAGATGGAAAAAAGAAAGTAAAAGGAAAAGAAAGCATGAAATTATTGAGGGCGGCATTCAAGTTATTTTAATTACTAACCAAACATGGAATTAGTAATATA